AGCCATCCTGGTAACATAAACAACGGTCATCACACCCCCCCCTGCACATAGCCACCCCTCCCTGTGTCTTTCACTTCTCAGGAGCTTTCCTCTGCCCTGCTTCGTGCTAGAAGTCACCCCTTTCCTACTGCTGCTCATTTTCGTTCTTGTTAATTTTTGGTTGCTGCCGAGAACAAATGCAAAAAGAAAGGCAGAGACACACTTCAGATTTTGCTCACTGCATGTTTTCATTTTTAATTAAATAAGTCAAGTAAGCCATCAAGTGATGGTTCACATTCTGTTCCACAAAGCAGACCCTGACCGGCGGTGGCCCCTGCATTTCCAGGAGACAGCAGATGGCAGCCATGGCAAGGACATCTGGACATTTGATGGCAAGGTGGCTGAGCAGGAGTTGCATGCTACACATACACACGTGTGGACACATATGTACACACATGGCCACGAAGGGAGTGCCCCACACCACGTGGCCATGAAACACGAAACAGGGCCGAGATCTTGGCAAAAAGACAGAGTTTGCGGGATCCAGGAGGGAGCAGGGGAGCCAGGCAAACTTGGCCTAGGACACACAGACGAGATGGAGACTTCTGGGGTGCCCAGTTCAAGCCCAATGGCAGAGGAAGCAGGGTATTTTCCCAAATAAAATACCTGGTCTACATTATGAGCTGGGCCCATGGGGATGGCACCGCGTCCATATCCTTGGAAACACACAACTCATTCGTCCCCCAGGCACAGTCATGGAATGACAGAGGACACAGGACCAAAGGATCTCCAAGCTCTTAGGACATCTCAATTTGCCAATTCTGCTTCAACCTTCTGAGGTAAAGGGCAGCTCCCACTGTTCCTGAAACTGGGCAGCTGAGAGGTGCTGTGGTTGCAATCAGGAAGCCTTCTGCCTCTCATCCAGTTGGACCATGTCCTGGCAATCTCCACCAGCAAACCCACCAACGTGGGACCCTTGGGAGTTCAGTGGATGCTCCTTGTGCTTTTTGCAGATCGGCAAGACCTACTTGGCTTCTGCAGATGCATTTCCCCATGCCCTGCCCCTTCTCTTCCTGACCCAGAAATCAATCCCTTCAGGACCTGCCTTTGCTTTCAGCCTTGGGGATGGGGCCATCCGCTCTTCTGCTCCCATTCTTCATAATCCAGGGCCTAGCAAGGGGCAGGCCCTAGGGTCAAAACAGGCTCTAATGTGGGAAAGGACCACCAGGGCTGGAAGAGACCTCTGGGATCAGGACCAGACTATCTGATGCTTACCTCTCCAGGCCAAGCACCCATCTATTGGCACAGGGGTCCCCTGACTTCCTGCTGGACCTTGCTCCATCATCAGACAGGACAGTGGTGGTGGGGAAAGATGCCACTGTAATGGGTTGGGTGGGCCCTCTGCTCTCAGGGGTCTTGTCAGCAGCTGCCCCATTAGACCAGCCCCTGGCGGAGGGTAGTGGCAGGGAGTAAATCTTCATTAAACATTTTTTTCCTATTCATTTAGTTATTTATTTTCAAGGGTATGTATCACATAAAGGGACCAAAGGCTAGATTTTGTTCATGTCCTCAACCTTAGTAAGAACTTGGTGATAATCTGCAGCGGTGGGGCAGGAGGGTGGGGTGGGGTAGGGGGGAGTGCCACAGAGCTGCGAATCTGCGTATGTTTTTCTCTCTGTGGGGACTCAGGGACCCTGGTCCCCACCGACTGTTCCCAAAGCCCCCCGCCCCCAACCTGGTGCCCTTAGCCCCTCCAAGGTTTACAAACAAGGCCAGAGGAGAAGCCAGGAATAGGCGGCCACAGTGACAGCCTGTGGGTGTTAAGACACTGCCCTGTCTCACTAAGGCCTGGAATGTTCTGAACTATTTATATAGGCCAGGCTAAAGAGGTCTTCATCAAGAAAAAGAAAATGAGTAAACACTCATTGCTGAATGGGCCAAGCTGGCAGCCCCAGAGGCAAGGCCTCAACAGCTCCCTCCGCCTGTCGGCAGGTGGACTCTCTGCAGGCGGTGGGGGGGTGGGGGTGGGGGGAGGTTCCCGTTAGAGCCAGCCAGAGCAGAGAAGCCCGGGGTTGGCCTCGATGGAAGAGGCGGCACTCGCCCCAGACGGACCACCTTCCTCGGCCCAGCCGCCTGCTGAAACCCCCAAATGCATACCCCCAACCAGGTCCCCCGGAGTGTAAAGTCAGTAGTTGCCCCCACCCTGTCCTTCCCCAAACCCCGAGGGTTCCCAGAGCGCTGCTGAGCACTCTCTTGAGTTGTGTCCTGTTTCAGACACCAGGGCAAAGGGAAAACACCAGAAAGGGCCTTCAATGTCACATCTTCCAAGCCGTAAGAAAAAAACCAAGGTACCTCCTTAAACAACACCCCAGGGCCTGTGCGACCCCCCGCCCTTGGGGTTTACTTTTCTCTTGTATTCTGAATCATCTTCCTCGAGTGTCCTTGTGTGTATGGCGCGAGTCAACGGTTTCAATTACTATTTCGTCTTTCTTGATTTGGGTACAGCTTTGAGTCCCTGCAAATAATAAGGTATTTAATGTCTCTTTGTCACAAAATCAATAAATTAAGTCAACTTGCAGTGTACAAATTGTCAATATCCTGAGAAATCCCAAAGGTCCATTTTTGGCACTGTCCTCAGAGCCCGGGGGTGGAGACCTTGGCCCCAGAGGCACAGGAAAGAAGGAAGAAGTCTGCTATCCGCACCAGGGGGGCCCCAAGAAGAGCCCCAGAGGGAGGTGCCTTTGTCCCTGCCTCAGCCCCCACCAACCACAGGTGGGACACTGCAGGGAGCAGGGGGGCTGGGGAGGAAAAGCCAGCACTTCTGTGCTCGCCAGAAACATCCTGGTCTCGCTCTGCCCGGGGTCAAGTTTTCAGGGCTGGAGTCCCTTTGGACCCCAAATTTGAGCCAGCTCCCTGCACAACTTATTCTGGGGCTGGAAAGCCAACACTGGAGACCACCTTGAATGGCTGTAGTCCATGGTGATGGAGACCCAGCAGCTCCAATGCAGTGATCAGAACAGACCCCACAAAATGGCTACGGTCCTCACCATCTCAAAGAGCAACTTCTGGCCAGGACACTCTCCCCATGGCAGTACCAGCTGGACTCAGATCCTCTATTTCCCTCGTGTCCGTATTACTCAAACCGAAACTCAGCCCTCTGGGTTTGACAACAGGACAGATCTGACAGAGAAGTTGTCCAGGAAATCAGAAACAGCCCTTGGGAACTCGTCGTGCAGCTCTTCAAGTTCTGAGGGGGACTGAGTTCTGCTCCCCAGTTTGGGGACATGTGCTGCTTGGCCATAGGCCCCTGACCCCCCAAGAAATGCATTCGGACCTGGAAGAGATGTTCAAATCTGGCCTCATCTCAGGGAGAGGGCGAGAGCTAATTTATGTTGCTTCTGGACACACAGCAAAGAACCCTGGCGGTTTCTGAGATTCATTTCACACGGGGCTCAAACAGAAAAGCCCGCGGGGCACCGCAGACTGCCATGTGGCTGCGTAGGCTCTGATCCTTCCTCCCCCTCCTCTCCCTCAGGCAGGAGCCAGAGTGCTCCCTGCTGGTCCTCCCAGCCCCCTCACACCCAGACTGCTTCTGAGCTGCACTCCTGCAGAAAGAAAATCAAAACCAAAGCCACAAAACAAGATACCAAACTATAAGTTTTTTTTTTAAAAAAACCCAAACAAAACACCCAGCCTATCCCAAGTTGAGCAACACTCTTCCCAGAGCCCTAAAAGTTGGAATTCCCAGACTCTAACCATGTAACCATGGTGACCGACCTCTGTCCCCTGTCTTCTCAGGGGAGGGGGTATCCTGATGTGACTTCTCCCCCAAGAGCACTCCGCACTCTCTTCTGGGCCCTGCCCCACACGAGGCCTGGCTGAAAATGGCAGGACTCATCTGCTGCCTTTTGCCTCCAGTCAGGCCTGAGGCAGCCTTCACACAGGGACATGCTCTGGGGGAGCCAGCCCAGCTGGGACGGGGCATTTGGGCTGTAGTCATGTGAGGGTTGGCCACACCATTTCAAAACATCCTGCCTGCCAGCAGGGAGGATGTGAATAGGCCAGAGGAGGTAGCCCGGAGAAACCAAGGCGGACAGGGGCCGCAGACTTGGCCCTTCTGTGTCTACCGCTCAGTTCCAAACCTGGTCGGGAACACAGTCATGGCCGTGACCATGTTTCCTTCCCCAACCCCAAATAATTCTAAAAATGTAATGAAAGTCTCCTCTTGAGGTGTGTGATAGTTAAATCCCGTGGGCATAAAGCAACAGGGAAGCTTGCCTGCATATGTGTGTGTGGATTTGGGTTTCTACATTGTTTGGGTCTGTGTGTGGTATACGTAGAGGCCTTGTCTTTACACACGTTATGTGTGTTTTACAGTTCTGTGCAGGGCTGATTTCATCAGTAACCAGCACGGCTCTTCCACTTTTGAAAATACTGAATCATTCTTGGTTGAAAAGCCCCAACTGCCATCCTCTGACATTCTGGGCTATTCCAGTCCCTTCCCCAGGGACCCATGCGGATTCCACACTGGATTGCGAAGAAATCCAGAAACTGAAAGATGACCGCTGAGTACAGCAGGAGGTCGGCTGTGACTGGTCCTGGCCCACAGCCCCTTCTGGTTCAACACTGGGACTCTGGCCCACAGGGTCTGCAGGCATTTATGGGTATTTTGTGTGTGTGTGTGTGTGTGTGTGTGTGTGTGTGTGTGTGTGAGAGAGAGAGAGAGAGAGAGAGCGAGCGAGAGAGAGAGAGAGAGAGAGAGAGAGAGACAGGCTTGTCGATAGTTCCGGGCCTGCGTGGGCCTGCTCAGGAGACGGCAGCCCCTTAGGTCCGGGCCTGGTGGCCCTCACGGGACAGGCGCCGTCCGGCGCTGGGTGACAGACCCCAGGCCCCAGGCTGCGGCGGGGGAGCTAGCTGGCCGGGGCGCCTACTGCTACTACCCCAGGCCGCCCGCCCGCCCGCCCACCCTCCGCGGGAGCCAGCATCGCACCGCCCGGTGGGATGGCAAGGGTGGGCCCTTCACAAGGAGGGGTACGCGCGGGTCCGGGGCCGCCTACGTGACCCAGAAGGTTCCGCGCTCCTCCAGCAGGCTGACGGAGCGGTTGGTGAGGGCGGCGGCGTCCCGCGCCAGCCGGTAGCCGAAGAGGTGCATGGCGGGGCCGCAGGCGTCCTGCACCACCTGCGCCAGCTTGAAGGGCATGCTGAAGCGCCACTTCTCGAACTGCTCGGAGGAGTTCTTCTGCGTGGAGTAGATGCCGCTGCCGTCCTGGGCCGCCTGCGTGTTCCTCTGGATCCAGTCCTCCACCTGCGCCGTCAGGGGGATGCCGGCGAAGCGGTACATCTCGCGCGCCTTCTGCAGCGGCCAGCGCGCCACGTCCTCGTAGCGCACCAGCATGTAGCGGCCGCGCAGCCAGGAGGGCTGCCGGAGGCCCAGCTCGGCCGACAGCCGGATGCTCTCGCAGTTGCCCCGCAGCCGCTGCACCTCCTCCTCCCCCAGCCGCGCCTGCCCCTCGGCCAGCCACTTCTTCCAGCCCTCGTACTTGCCGGCGAAGGCCACCATGCGGGAGGCCAGCACGGCCCGCGGGTCCCGCACCAGCTGGATGACGCGCAGGTCCAGCCGGGGGTCCTCGGCCAGCGGCTGCAGGAACTCCAGCTGCCGGATGCGCACGGCCTTGAGGGCCATGTGCTCCTTGCGGCGGCAGGCCTCGGCGGCCAGCGTCACGTTGAGGGGCCCGCAGCGGCGGTTCTTGCAGTGGTACTTCTCGAAGACCTTCTTGACGAAGGGCGTGCACACGGGCTCCTCGCACAGCGAGCGGCTGGAGCCGCGGCGGAACATGAACTGGGTCAGGTGGTCCTCGGGCAGGGGGCTGATGAAGTGCTCCAGCACGTACAGGTCGCACAGGAACAGCTGCTTGAGCACGTCGCGGTAGACCAGGGCCGAGCCGGCGGCGCTGGCGCCCCCCGACTCGAAGGACACCGTGCGCTCGATGTGCCACAGCGGCTCGAAGAGGTAGAAGATGTTGCCCTGCTGGTTGAAGAACTCGCCCACGAACGAGGAGCCGGTGCGGGTGGTGGCCATGAGCAGCACGTGGCGCCGCGGCGGCGGGGCCCCGGGGGGCGACGGTGGCGCCTCTCCCCCGACCCCGGCCTCCGCCTCCGCCTCCGCCCCGGCCTCCCCTACTGCCTCGACACCCAGTTGCAGACTGAGGTTTCGCAGGCGGCCCTGCAGCTGGGTGAAGGCCGAATCGAGCTCACTCAGGGACAAGAGGGACGCATTGTCCGCCAAGAACAGGGCTGGGTCGGTGCCGTTGGCATCTAGCAGGGGTTGTGGGATCTGCTTCAGCTTGTCTGACACCCTAAGAGGACAAAGGGAAATCGGAATCAGTGAGTGACTGGGGACTCCATCCCTTGTGCACCCCTAGGCAGCCTCCCCCAGGGTGATCACCCAGAGCCTGTCTTAGCTGGGTTTCCCCAGAAGCTGACTTGGAGGCAAGGATCTGAGCGTTAAGTAGTTTATTTGGGACATGATCACAGGAAGAACTGGTAGAGAGGTAGGAAACGAGGTGGAGAGAAAAAGAGGTCTGTAAAGGGTGAGCAGGGTGTCCCTATGGGCAAACCAACCCCCCTGGGGCATCCTGGTAGACAGTGTAGAACACACTGGAGGATTCTCTCGCCCAAGGGACAGGAAAGCTCCAGCTGGCCCTGGCTGAGGGCTGCTCCTGGAGGCATTTGCTCCCTGGATTCCTAGCTTGCCGGTGTGCAGGTCAAGAGAAAGCTCTCTGGTGGAGAGCTGCAGGGGCTAGTAGCAGAAGCCTGTGGGCACGAACTGGAACAGTCCATGCTGAGGAACCCAGGTGGGGCAGTGACACAGTGCCTGCTACACAGCCCAATTCCTAATCTATCCATGGTGGCTGCTTTCTTGCAGGGTGTTGCACTGGGAGAGCACGTCTAAAATCTTTGTGTGTCTAGCAGGTTCACCAGCAGAGCCACTGCACACAATAGTACCTTGCCAATTTCAGGGGGCAGCATCCCCAGTGTAGCGGAGGTGAGTGCACACCCCCGGAATTTAGCAGTATACAACCTGGACAGCTGTACATTGGAAGCCCTGCCCACCAGGGTACATGTACCAGGACCCTGCCTTTCCATGGGCTCACCCTCACCCATGGCTTCAGGCTGGTATAGCAGATGTGCTGTTAATGTGAGGCATCATCCTAGCCAAGAAATAAATTAATAATAATAGCCATGGTCAGCAAGTACTGGATACCAACTGCATGCCAGGCACTGAGCTAAATGTTTTACATTTCCTAATTTAATCTATAAGGAAAGCCCCATTGTTAGCCGTATTTTACACAAGAGGAATTTGGGACACAGAAAAGTGAATTTGTCCAAGCTGTCACAGCTAACAAACGGCCGGAATCAAGATTCCACCCCAGGCTACCTGAGTCCAGAGGCCAAGTGTCACCCCTGTGCATTCCTGGGGGCGTGGGCCGGACCACTTCCCCGGGCACAGGAGGAGCCTCATGATTACTGGTTGAAGGACTGCCTTTGTAGGTCCACAAAGAGCCCTATAGCTACCCCTCTGCCCCACCCACCCCTCCCTGATAAGGAAGACTTTTGCGCTTGCATCCCTCACCTTGATATGATTTTATTTTCCTTTTCAATGAAGACAAAAACCACCACCACAAAAGCCAGGAAAAGGGCATATTTGCTCCTCATCCTCAGGCTGTGCAGAAAGTCCCGGCAGTCCTGGGGTAAAGCGAGTCCTTTCTCCATGGGGAAGGGTGGGGCCACGGGCCCTCAGCTCAGGAGCATCACTCAGGACCTGGCTCGTCGTCTTCAGGTGGGGGACACCCTCGTCCTGTGAAGAGACCCGTGGTCAGGACACCCTTGTCTAGAGGTGAGGAATGAAGAGTTTTCCCACCCAACTTTTGAGGGTTGTGGCCCTGCTTAGCAGCCAGATTCCAGCCCCACTCTCCCAATGGATGAGGTGAAATCAGGTCCTTTAAAATGCTAATCAGCCCTTGGATTCATTCATCCCACTTCCATCAACTTATCCTTTGACCTCACATGTAACTCAAGGGCAAGTACATGGAAAAGAACGTTCCTTGCACTATAAGTGTTTGCAATAGCAAAAGACTACAAATACCTAAACAAAAAATGATGGAGATGGATCTATAGGTGTTGATGTGAATAACCTAAATATATATATTAGATCCTAGGGAGGAGGCCTGCAGGGCCAGCTCCAGGGCAACTGGAATATTCCTGCCCCTTCCCAATTCTTCTGGGCCTTTCCCCACATACTCATGAAACAGCTATTTCCTGAGAACCCACTCTGTGCCAGCCTCTGGTCTAGGCACTGGGGATACAGCAGTGAGCAAGCACAGCTGATCCATGCCATCGTGGAGCTGACACTCGGGTTGGAAGGGCCACCTGGAATGATCTGGTAGCTGAGATTTATTGAGTGCTTACTACTCTGTGCCAGGTGCCATGCTAAGCACTTGATTTGCATTTCCTCATCCGATCCTTACAGAAGTCCCATTAGGTGGCAGCTATCCCATTTTACAGACCAGGAAACTGAGGTTGAGGGGTTAAATGACTTGCCCAAGTTTCCCCCAGCAGCAGCCCTCATCATCCCTCCAAGATCTAGGTCATTCGAGCCTCCCAGTGCTCCCCAGTCACCCCCACTGTAGCATATATGGTTGGGCTTTCCAGCCGATGGTCTGTCTTCCCTTCCCAGACCGTGAGCCCCCTGAAGTAGGGACTGGTGTCTAGAATGGCACCCAGCATATAACAGCTGCCCAACAAAACACGAGTGAGCAAACCTGTCAAAGCTGGTGCCTGGCTCAGTGCCTGGAGCCTCAGAGGCTGTCAGCATGAGTTTGCAGAATGATGGGCAGAGCCATGCTCCACACACCCTGCGGGGTGTGAGGCCATCTGTCTCTCTGGAAGGGTGAGATTCAACGCTGAGTCTGCAGAGCAAAAGGGATTGAAATCCTGACTTTCTGCCCTCTTGTCTCTTGGCTGAGAGTTGCCTGTGTCTGATGATGTGAGGGAAGCAAAAGGAGCTGAGATCCTGGGTTCTAGTCCTTTCTGCATGTCTACCATGCTGTGTAACCTTGTAGGAGTGACTTAACTTCTCTGGCTCTCGGTTTCTTTACCTGTAGGATGAAAAACCTGCACGTAAGGTTGCTGTGAGGAATAGTATCTGGGACACGGTAAGTGTTCATTAACTACAAGAGAGGTGAAAAGGCAGGGGTGGGTGGGGGGAGTTGCCCTCACTGTCCTCTCCCTTCTGAGTCTTTAGTAAGATTAAAAGTTCGCTGCCTCGATGATGAGCTCCTGCACCTTCTCCTCCCCTCCCTTGCAAGCACTGTTTCTATTTTTGAGTTGCCATCCCAGACCCCTCACCCCCCCTGAATAATATAGGGTTCCTAAGAACGTTCCCGGCACTGCCCTGAAAGGAAGAAGCAATGGTGAAAACTCTGACATGAAACACAAGGCAGGCTGTTGGCACCTTCTCCCTGTCCCAGCAGGCTGCCCTTGGCTTCAGCTCTGGAAGCCCAGCGGATGCTGGGCAGGCAGGTGAGGGAGGTTTAGAGGTCCCAGGGGGAATGTGGGAGGTCCTCAGACCCAAGAGGTGGGAGAGGGCCATAGGGGCCAGGAGGTCACAGGGTCACCAGGGAGGAAGATGGGGTCAGGATGGGGGTCACCTGGCAAAGCTCCTGGCAGAGGCCCTCTGTAAGAAGTGGGTCTGTGACATCTGTCAACACTAGTCAAACCTTTGTGCTACTCCCTCCCAAAACCCAGGGTGCACCCTTGCTTAGCTCATGGGAAGAATGAAACATAGTTTCCTTCTCTTGGCAGATGCTGCCTCCCAGGGGAGTACTGGATACATTTTCTCCCCTTCCATCCAGCAAGTGATGCGACAGCCAAAGGAAAAGGGGGATGCCAGGGATGCCAGCGAGGTCCCACTTCCAGGGCACCAAGGCCAATGGGGAAGAAGGCCAGAAGCACGGGCCAGCCCAGCTCTGCCGGGATGCAGCAGGGGTGGGACAGCTCCCCTTGGCCCAGTCATCCCCAGTGCTCAGCTCTGGAGCCCTCCCCTGGAGCCCTGCCCTGACCACCAGCCTCACGCTGACCATCTCCCCTCCCCCATCACTTCCCTTCTTAGCATCCTGCTGTATTTCCTTCCTGGACGGAAATGTACTGGTTTCTTGCCTAATTCACCCACTGCTGTGTAGGTTCCATGAGAGGAGAGCTTCGTCCGTCTGTTCCACCTCAGCACTCTGTGCCCAGAATCCCCGAGCCCTCCTCTGTGTGTCCCGGGCACAGAGCAGGTGCTCCAGAGTACTTGTGGAATGAATGGATGAATGCCTTTTCCAAAGCATCCAGCCCAGCGGGAGATGCTCACTCATTCTAAGTTGATGGGACATATGAAGAAGATAAAGCGCTTGTTCCCTAGACGAGCAAATCATGTGTGTGCTATGATTGTGCCCTATGGGTGTGTGCTCTGAGTATATGCCCCAGGGTGTACTACAGGCAAATACTATGAGTGCGTCCTATGGGCAAAACTTCACACTTGGGGCTTCACGTACACCAGGCTCTCTCTCTTTTTTTAAAAGATTTTATTTATTTACTTGACAGAGAGCAAGCACAAGGAGTGGGGGCAGCAGAGGACAGGGAGAAGCAGTGGGGAGCCTGACGTGGGCCTCGATCCCAGGACCCTGGGACCCCGACCCGAGCTGAAGGCAGACGCTTAATGACTGAGCCACCGGGGCGCCCCCACATACATCTGTCTCTTGAATTACCACTATCAATCTGGGATGTCATTTTGAGGATGAAGACACGAAGCCCTGGGGCTTTCAGTTGAAGCCTCTACAGCGATGTGTTAATGATGGGAGGGCAGGAAACCGCCAAGGGTACCCCAGACAAATCTGAGTGAGGGAATACTGAAAAGAAAGCGGGCTGGGCTAAGGCCCCAACTCTAGGCACCAGCCTCCCTACGCTCCTCTCCCCTCGGGGGCCTTTCTAGCCAGGCCTCCCTCCTGTCCTGCGGCGGCGGGCGGGGTGGGGGGAGCTCACTAGACAACAGTTTTCTACTTGGATGCCTCCCAGCCTGCCCCTGCCTCCCCTAAGGGAAGGTGGGATCCCAGAGTCTGCTGGGAATGGAGCTCTGATAAGGGACAGGCCCTGCCAGACATTGCATCAGGCAGCAAAACTCCACTCCCCTCACTTGCTGGGGCCCAGAGCACAGTGGGGGCTGGGCCTCAGCAGGAGTAGGCCCTGCTCCCACCGCTGTTCCATCAGAGGAAGAGCCACACCAAGAAGAGAAGCTGAGAGAGGGCAAAAGTCCGGATGGGGGCGCTCTGTGGAAGGCTCAGTGTCTGACAGAAGAGTAAAGGCTTAGAGGCTGTTGGACAAACCAGTGAGCTTGGAAGAAAAGAGTGAGGAAGTGAATGAATATCTGGCTGATGGTCCCCTGCGGAGCTCAGGGCCAACCTTATTCCTCAAGCTTGCTCACATTCCAGCACTCCAGCTTCCTCTCCCAAGAACAAACCCCTCTAGGACCTCCTTATGGGCATGTGCCCAGCCTCAGCCAAGACAGAGACATTGGAGAAGCAGCCAAAGGTAAAGGTGTGTCTCACCTGAGCGGCAATGGACATCCAAGAGCTTGTGAGAAGTTATGGGCCACCGCCACGAGGTGGACCACAGGGCTGAGGGCCAGCCTGGTGGGGACAGGGCTGCCACAGACTCTCAGGGCATCAGCTCCGCCTGGGACAGACCCAGGCTGCCCCTCAGCCCTGTTTTGCTCTGTGGGGATGTGGGGGAACACATTCTCTACCCCCATTTGAGAGTCACTTTATCAGGGCTGGCTAAGTCCTATGAGCAAAACATCCTGTGTAAATCCCAGAGCCAACAGGTGCATGAAATACAGGGCCCCAGAGAACAGTCCTAGGCCTTCCTCTCAGCGAAGGCACTTCCAGCACCTCTCACACTGAACCGGGGGCCCTCGGCCAGGTCGGAGCTGACCCCCACTCTGGGCTTTGCCCAGTCAGGGCCCGCAGTGGAAGCTGGTATCCAGGATGTCCAAAAGAAATGTGTCCTGTATACCACCTGGTGGGCCCTGAAAAAACATGGCTCTTGTCCTAACACTGCAGAATGTCAGCACTTGGAAATTTTCTTACCGACCCTTCCTCATTTTTTATCTATAGAAATTCAGGCTCCGAGACACCAAGGCATACCAGTGGATGGAGACAAAACTCCAACTACTACGTGGGTCTCCTGTCTCCCAGGTTAGTGATGGCCCTGCCCCCCTTTATCACTCTGACTCTCATAGCTTAGCCCACTTAAGAAGCTTCATTACAGGGGTGGCAAATACATGGCGCACACATCACCACTCAGCAGTCCTGAGCCCGGAGCAGACATCCCTAATCAATCAATGTCCTCTCTTCAGCTGAGACTGGGATGTAGCCTCATAAACCTCATTGCAGCACCAATCCATTAGCGTTGTCCTGGGAGATAAAACTGATTTGCCCTCCCAACTTTACAGGATCCTTACTGGCTACCAAATGAAATTCCTCGCCACCTCTTACTCTGACATTCTACGGACTGACCTCACCCTGCGATGCCAGCCCAAACTCTTACATAAACCCTCCACTCAAGCACATGTGCCTTGTACACCCATCCTCCAAGCCTTTCATTTAGCCCATGAGGCCCTTTACTGAACAAAACACTGCAGATTATAATTCATGGCAAAGGTTACTAAGAACTGTGAAAGCATCAAACATTGAGACCCGTCCCACCAAAATTGCGTTTTG